GACTTTTTTCTCCCTGACCAGATCAGTGCGGTGAAATCTATTGAAACCCCCATTTCCGTGCCCCACTAGTGCCCTGTAGTTGAGAGGGGGTGATGGGGAGGCAGACTAAGTGTGCATGAGTGCTATCTGTGTGGGTAAGTATGTCTCTTTCTGCGGTGGGCCTGTGTGTGTTTCTGCGTGCACCTCATTTGAGAGACAGCGAAGGTCCCCATTTTGACGACACCTGCTTTCCCTTTGGCCACACCCACTGCTGACATGTGCCCTTCGAAGGTTTGGCCAACAGTGAATATGGCCCTCAAGGTGAAAAATGGATTAGCTACCCCTGCCTTACAGATTAATATACCAAAGACATCCCCCCCCATGGCTACGACCTTACAACGCACCCCTCTACCCTTGCCTCTGACACCCGAGATGTCTGTATTTTGGAGACCCACCCTATTTTAGTGATTGCAGGTTCCTTTAAACTGCTTTTGATGTTGAATTATAAATTCTTCTACCCTGCCCTGGGACTTTAGGGTGAAAGGCTGGTAGTTAATGGTGATTGTGATGATGGCATCAGTAGGAGAGAGAGGGGGAAAACAGGGAGACACAGGTTAAGGGAGGGTTGTTAGCAAGCACTGTTATGTTCTTATGATTTGTTGAGGTTGGGTAAAAAAAAACATCTGAAAGAGACATGTAGGTATAGCTTGGTATAAAGTGGATCCTCAGGTTGCGAACATGATCCATTTGGGATGCACGTTCGCAACCCGCAGCGGCGTGTCTGCGCATGCGCAGGTTGCAATTCGGTGCTTCTGCGCATGCGCGACCGCCAAAACCTGGAAGTAACCCATTCAGGTACTTCCAGGTTCCAGCAGTCTGCAACCCAAAAAAATGCAACCTGAAGGGTCTGTAACCCAAGGTATGACTGTACAATTTTTGGTATAATAAATTAGGCAGGGAGTTCCAAAGATTAATTTCTTACAGACATGGAAGCTTCCCTTTCCATGCTCTGAAGGGCTGTTTTTAAAGAATGCAATGAAATAATGTACACAGAGAAGCACTCTGAACACTCTAAAGGTACAGGTAAAGGGACCCCTGACCATTAAGTCCAGTCATGACTGACTCTGGGGTTGCGGCGCTCATCTCGCTTTATTGGCCGAGGGAGCCGGCGTACAGCTTCCGGGTCATGTGGCCAGGAGGACTAAGCCGCTTCTGGCGAACCAGAGCAGCACACGGAAACGCCGTTTACCTTCCCACCGGAGCGGTGCCTATTTATCTACTTGCACTTTGATGTGCTTTCGAACTGCTAGGTTGGCAGGAGCAGGGACCGAGCAACGGGAGCTCACCCCTTCGCGGGGATTCGAACTGCAGACCTTCTGATTGGCAAGTCCTAGGCTCTGTGGTTTAGACCACAGTGCCACCCACATCCTCTATTAATGCGAAAATTAATAAATATGTGGGGTATTCTGGAATGGAGGTCTGGAAATAAGCAGGCAGAGAGAGTAGAGATGGGTCGAGTCTTTGAAAAGAGCAAAAAAAACCCAGAGAGCTGAGGGTGATACTGTCCCATGATTGATTCTGTATGCAGTGATGTATATTGAGATATACCTGTATTTGCAGGGAGCTCCTCAATTCCCAATGCATCATCAGTGGAGTTGCCTTTGCTGAGCAAAAAAGGTTGCCAGGTCCTCCTAGCGAGTTGATTCGTTCACCTTCAAATAGAGGTACCAAGCCAGACTGCAGCTGTGCAGACTTCAAGTCTCGCTGGCTATAACTGGCCAGTGGATTGGTGTTATTGTGAAAGTGAGTGGCTCAGAGTCAGGGCCGTCGCCACTGCTGTCACTCGGGATAAGCGCCGTCTCGTCCTCCTCCCCAAGCTCAGCACTGGTGGCACTGGCAAGGGAAGTAGGGACATTCCAGGATCAAAACAGAAGCTGGGATGGCGTTCGTAATTCCGGAACTGTCCCTGGAAAATAGGGTCACTTGGAAGGCATGCTTTCAGCCAGGGCCGGATTTAGGTTTGATGAGGCCCTAAGCTCCTGAAGGGAATGGGGCCCTTTATATGTCCAGCTGTCCTTTGTCAACAACAAATTGCCGCTGTTTTTTGTGTTGAATATATGCTATATGGTCATTTATGGACCCAATAGGTATCTAAAGCCATTTGCACATGTTTCCATGCAACCAGTCCATACAGAATGTAGGTACCCTATATATAGAAATGAGCAAACCAGTGATATTTTAGGGAGCAGGCTAGCAGGCGGGGCCCATGTCTTACATCATAGGAGCCTACACAAAACACTGTTGCTGTATGGAGGTTTCATTTTATTTGTTTTTTATCTTATATTTTGGAAATGTACATCCAGGTTTTTTCCCCTTTAATTTTTTGGGGGGCCCAAGAGAGTGGGGCCCTGAGCTATAGCTTGTTTAGCTTATATGTAAATCTGGCACTTCTCAGAGGAATCTGCATCCCTGTAACGCATCTTCATCCCAGGTGCCCCAATCTCCAGGTAAGAAGTTGGTCATCATCCTTTCTGTCTGTCAACCTTTGTTCTCAGGATCATGCAGGTCACTGCCAGAACCTCACCAGACAATAAGAGAGGAGGGATAGAAATGCAAGGAGAGAAATTTAAGAAAGGTGTCCATTGGGGTAGAGAGTAGACCTCATTCTTCATTTTAGATCACATCTGAATATCCATCAGGAGTGCTAATATATCTGTCCTGGACACTGAATTGATCCACTAACTGGTGTTGCGACCTTTAAAGCCCTAAACTGCCTCGGCCCAGTATACCTGAAGGAGCGCCTCCACCCCCATGGTCAAGCCCAGACACTGAGGTCCAGCGCCGAGGGCCTTCTGGTGGTTCCCTCCCTTCGAGAAGTGAGGTTACAGGGAACCAGGCAGAGGGCCTCCTTGGTGGTGGCACCCTCCCTGTTGAACACCCTCCCATCAGATGTCAAGGAAATAAACAACTCTCTGACTTTTAGAACACATCTGAAGGAAGCCCTCTGTATAGGGAAGTTTTTAATGTTTGATGTTTTATCGTGTTTTTAATATTCTGTTGGGAGCCGCCCAGAGTGGCTGGGGAGGCCTGGCCAGATGGACGGGGTATAATTAATAAACTTATTATTAAATATATATTATTGTAGCTCTGTCAATGGAGCCCGAGACTCTTAATCGCAGGGCTGTAGGTCCAAGCCCCACATTGGACAAAAGATACCTGCATTTTAGAGGGTTGGACTAGATGACCACTGTGGTCCCTTCCAACTCTAAAGTTCTATGATTCTGAGACTCCAGTCGGTGTGTGCAGTGAATCTATACATGCTGAAGCCACTCATGCCTTTCCTTTATAATAAAGGAGGTGAAAGGGGGGAATTCTTTGAACTTGGTTGCTATGGGTATGAAAAAGAAAAATAAGTGCTGCAACATAATCACTTCAAATGCATGGTTTGTTGCAAGGGGCGGCTGCTTGTGCTTTGTGTTTTGCTTTGTTTCCCCCAAAATTTAATCTCAGAACAGAGCTTGGCTGAAACGACTTCTCATCTCATACGTTTTCAGCAGCCTCAAATAACAGCTCGCACTTTGGGGTGACTTGTGAGGGCACTACTTACCCAAAATGTCAGCCAGCTTTCTCTTGTTTTCCCCTACTTTGGGATATTAAGAACAGAGTAAGTGGCCTAAAGGGACATGGGTGGTGCTGTGGGTTAAACCACAGAGCCTAGGAGTTGCCAATCAGAAGGTCGGCGATTCGAATCCCCACGACTGGGTGAGCTCCCGTTGCTCGGTCCCTGCTCCTGCCAACCTAGCAGTTCAAAAGCATGTCAAAGTGCAAGTAGATAAATAGGGGGAAGGTAAACGGCGTTTCTGTGCGCTGCTCTGGTTCGCCAGAAGCGGCTTAGTCATGCTGGCCACATGACCCGGAAGCTGTACGCCGGCTCCCTCGGCCAATAAAGCGGGATGAGCGCCGCAACCCCAGAGTCGGTCACGACTGGACCTAATGGTCAGGGGTCCCTTTACCTTTACCTTTAAGTGGCCTAATGCTCACTCAGATCACTGATCTACCTAGCTCTGTATTCTGCAGGTGCAGAATGCCGTGGCGAGGCTCCTTACGGGGATCACATTCATCCATTGCTTTACCAACTGCACTGGCTCCCGGTGGAGTACAGGGTCAGGTTTAAGGTGCTGGTTTTGACCTTTAAAGCCCTATACAGCCTAGGACCCACATATCTACGGGACCGCCTCTCCTGGTCTGCCCCGCGGAGGACCTTAAGGTCCGCAAATGACAACACTTTGGAGGTCCCAAGTCATGAGGTGGTTAGATTGGTCTCAACTTGGGCCAGGGTCTTTTCAGTACTGGCCCCGACTTGGTGGAATGCTCTGTCACAAGAGACTAGGGCCCTGCGGGACTTGACATCTTTCTGCAGGGCCTGCAAGACAGAGCTGTTCCACCTGGCCTTTGGTTTGGATTCACTCTGACCCTTATGTTTTCCCTCCCCTTATGGTTTTGATCTATGGGCTACTATTAAAATGAGGCTGCATTTTAAATTACAGTGGTACCTCAGGTTACAGACGCTTCAGGTTACAGACGCTTCAGGTTACAGACTCCGCTAACCCAGAAATGGTACCTCAGGTTAAGAACTTTGCTTCAGGATGAGAACAGAAATTGTGCGGCGGCGGCGCAGCAGCAGCAGGAGGCCCCATTAGCTAAAGTGGTCTTCAGGTTAAGAACAGTTTCAGGCTAAGAACGGACCTCCAGAACGAATTAAGTTCTTAAACCGAGGTACCACTGTATATTTTAACCTGTATTTTAAATTGGTTGTTGTTGTTGTTGTTGTGTTGTTGTTGTTGTTGTTGTTGTTGTTGTTGTTGTAATTTTATTGGTGTTAGCTGCCCTGAGCCCAGCTCTGGCCGGGGAGGGTGGGGTACAAATATTATTATTATTATTATTATTATTATTATTATTATTATTATTATCCACACAGACTGGCAGCAGCTCTCCAGACAGTGGACATTCCCAGCCCCACCAGGAGATGCCAGGGATGGAGTCTGAGACCTTCTACATGCCAAGCAGATGCTCTACCACTGAGCTACTTCCCTTCCAAACTTCTTCACTCTGCATTGCCCTCACTTGTCCCCAGTGACATTATGCATTCTATCATGTAGAGCAGCCGTTCCAAATTAGGCAAGCCATGGACCCCTTGCTTTTGAAAACATTGATACCTCTGTGTTAGTTTTCATTTTGTGAATGGTGCCAACACACCCTACAACATGTCCCAGCACCAAATTGGGGTGCATGTTTTCTGGGCCATGCTCCCGTGCGAGTCATGTGACCCACGTGAGAGCACAGCACCCAAAGATGCATGTTTCGGGGCGCTGTGACCGGCTGTGATTTCACACGTTTTGGGGTGCCACGCTCTTGCATGAGAGTATGCCGCCCAATGGGATGTCCCAGACAGTTGATGGGTTTATGCCATGGACCCCCCCTGGGTGAGTTATGTGGATGTCTGGGGTCTGTGGACCACCAGTTGGGAACCACTGATCTTGGGTGAGGGTAGCCAATTCAGCGCCCTTGTGATGTTCCCGTACTACAACTCCCATCATCCTTGACCATTGGCCATGCTGGTTGGAGCAGCTGGGACTTGGAGTCCTATAACATCTGCAGAGCACACCATCGGCCAATCCAGATGCAGGATAGTTAGCACTGGGGTGTCATTTCATATGCTGGCCCTTGATTGGATGGGATCGCCGACGTGAGTAATCATTGGAAGGAGGAAGGAGCAGCCCAGAGAAATGAAGGAGCAGAACAGGATTGAGTTAATGGTCACAATCTTGATGGTTTTTCTGAAGAATCTCCCATGCCGCTATTATTAAACATTTGAAATGGGCAAATATTTGGCACAGCCTTGTGTTATTTCATATGGCTTGGGACGTAAGAGAGGACTGGGGCCAACCCCGAGAAGCCACTGGTCCTCAGTGATGGACACCCACCTCCAAGCATGGAGTAAGCCACAATTCAGAATGGGGAGAAATTTGGTCTGGTCTGCCTTTCTTTTAATGAGAAGCTGCCAAATTCACGTCTCGAACTGATAAAGTTAAAGGGACGCCTGACCGTTAGGTCCAGTCGTGACCGACTCTGGGGTTGCGGCGCTCATCTCGCTTTATTGGCCGAGGGAGCCGGCGTACAACTTCTGGGTCACATGGCCAGCATGACTAAGCCGCTTCTGATGAACCAGAGCAGCGCACGGAAACGCCGTTTATCTTCCCACTGGAGCGGTCCCTATTTATCTACTTGCGCTTTGACGTGTTTTCGAACTGCTAGGTTGGCAGGAGCTGGGACCGAGCAACGGGAGCTCACTCTGTCGCAGAGTTTCGAACCGCCGACCTTCTGATTGGCAAATCCTAGTCTCTGTGGTTTAACCCACAGCGCCACCCGCTTCCCCTCTCGAACTGATACACGAACACAATTATCTTTTGAAATTCAAACTTCCCTGAATTTTGCGATGCAGCCAAACAATGTGTTCAAAAATGGATTATATTAGGGGAAAGTGTGCATAAAAATATATAGATTTGTGAAAACAGCATACAAAATGCACCGTATCAGGGGGAAACTGCTTGCAAAAATGTTTATGCGGGGAGAAATTTGCAGCATGATACCGATGAACTTTCACGAGGACCCCCCCCTCCTTTTTACTAAAAAATTGCAAATCGCTGCCAGAATTTGGCAACCTGAACAATTAGAATTGGGAAAACGAGACACTGAGAGAAACCGAAAGTGGTAGCTTTACTCGCCATTCCTTTTTAGAACCTGCCCTCTGAAATCTTTCTTTCCCCAGCCGCCCCAGAAATCTGCGATACTGCCCTTGAAGAAAAGCTCTGGAAGAAACTTTAGTCTTGCTCCAGGTTGCTGGGGGGGGAGGGGGGGTTTCTGACACAAGCTGAATCCAAGCCCACCCACTGGCAAGTGGAGCCTTTCGCAGACAGAACAGCCTCAGACACCCATCCAGCAGAGCATCTCAGGTTTTGGACAGACTGCTTCGCCATCTGATATCCCGGGCATTGCATGTTGTTGCATCGTTGGGCAGATAAGCTGGCTCTCAGATTTTCCTTTGCAAAGTGCGCCCAGTTCACAGAGCAGGAACCGGGCACCTCTTTGCCCTTCCTGCAAACCAAGCAGGGGAGGAGGCCTCCTCTTTTATTTCTCCTGCGCGTGCAACTCATTTGAGCGCTTTGGCTTGCAAAATGCCACCACAAGCTGGCCTGGTGGCACGGGGAGGCAAGCTCCGTTCCAGCTGGGTTCTTCCGGAGACGGCGGGTGCCAGCGAGCAGACGAGGTTGCCTGGTGTGCTCAGCTGCTAACCTGGAAGGAATTCCACCGGCGAGGGTGACCTCTCCAGCAGGCGACATCGGCGGAAGCCAGCAGAATCTGGACCTGAAGGCTACGACAGGGTGCCAACGCGAATGCAGGCCGACTGGCCAGAAGATGGCTGTTGCTCCTCAGAGGTTTGGCAGAGGGCTTTCCTTCCCATTGAGCTGGGCTTGCTTTTGGATGAATAAGACCTCCGCCGGTCTTCCGCGAAGCTGTCTGCCAAGAGGAGCTGCCTTCTTCCTGAAAGGTGTGAGGGAGCGGGAGGAGAAATCGGACCAGAGAGGAAAACAGGACATGGAAGCGGAGAGGTCCTTGCATAGCCCATCTAGCCATGCATTGTCCTCCAGCACCTCTTCCATGTTTTGTTTTGTTTTTTCAAAAAAATTTTTTATTGATTTTCCAAATTTTTCACACAGAAAAAAGAAAAAACATGACAAAACACACAACGAAGACGATAAACACGTAAGAGAATTATTACTTCAGATACTTAAAACATTGGTAACTGACTTCCTCGAATCCCCTCTATCTGAATTTCATTATATCACCTGTATAACAGTTCTCCAGTTTCATATTTCTAATAGTATTAACTCCTTTCATTAACTAACCTCTTCTCCTTTATGATTATTCTAATTGTGCTCTGGCGGCGCGGCGGCAGCGGGAGACCCCATTAGCTAAAGTGGTACCTCAGGTTAAGAACAGTTTCAGGTTAAGAACGGACCTCCGGAACTAACTAAGTACTTAACCCAAGGTATCACTGTAGTTGAACAGGGCTGCCTTCAGGTGTCTTTTAAAGATAGGATAGCTACTTATTTCCTTGACATCTTATGGGAGGGCGTTCCACAGGGCGGATGCCACCACTGAAAAGGCCCTGTGCCTGGTGCCCTGTAACCTCCCTTCTCGCAGCGAGGGAACCACCAGAAGGCCCTTGGCGCTGGACCTCAGTGTCTGGGCTGGACAATGGAAGTGGAGATGCTCCTTCAGGTATACTGGGCTGAGACCGTTTAGGGCTTTCAAGGATCCCAGTGATACAAAAGCACTCACATGCGGGCACAGAGCAAAACCAGGGAGGGTTGTGGCCTGAGTAGAGTTCCTGGGGAGAGGTCTGGAGGGCTGCAGTGCAGGGGGTTGGACTAGATGAACTATGGGGTCCCTTCCAACTCTTCAATTCTACGATTTGACACACACACACACACAAAGAGCCCCCCGCAAAAGAACAGAACTTGCATGAGGCAGAGGGCAGCGCTGATGTTCTGACATCAGGCTCTGTCTACAGGGCTCCCAAACCATACAGTTTGGTCCTCCTCCTCCTCCTCCTCCTCCTCCTCCTCCTCCTCCTCCTTCCCCGAGTTTCTCCCTAATCCCCTTCGGAAATTCCCCGAGCACTTGCCCGATTCAAGGCGATCACTTTCCCTCTAAATCAAAATCCTTTTTAGTGGAGAGTTTTACATCCTTAAACCACAGAGGGCTTTTCGGGGGAAGAAATATTGGTGCTCTCTTCTCCGGCGTACACTTAAAACACATGCTATTTGTTTTTGGTCTCCCCTTCTGCAAGGAGGACATTTAATATGTACAATAGAATTAATAGGGATGGAAGTGTGTAGCAGGACTTGCATTAAATCAAACCCCCACACTTCCCGCAAAACAAAGGAGCAGCTGTGAGCATGCAGAGAGCCTGCCGAATATTCTTCCGCCCACGTTTGCTGAAAGATTTGCTCTGCAAAGTTTTATCTAATTTCTCATTCATTCAATTAAGCGGGGAGATAAAATGAACTGATCCCGAGAGATTAGGAGAGAAACTATGTTTAGCTCCTGCTTAGGGTTGCAATCAAGACTGCCTTTAGTTTCGAGATTAGAGGCAAGAAGACGCTGCCATCAAGGGACTCATCCTGAACAGGGCTGGGCAACTTCCAGGCAGCTCCAAAAGACTTCCCTGGGTTTTGAAGGCACTTGGTGTCACACAGCGGTGTTGCGGGGTAGCTAAATGTTTGGGGAAAGGGCATTGCCAAGTGTTAAAGCGTGTTCTCCTTCATGGAGAGCATGTGTTGTGGTGGAGGTCGCCAAGACACTCCAAAGTTGTGGGGTGGGCTAATTGATCGCTGGCCACTGATGCGATTGGGCTTCCCTTGTTGTTGGGAAGAAGTTAATGTTGCCATTTGTTGATTGACAGCCATAAATGCTAAAACTCCTTGCACAAGGCTAGGGCTTCCTCTTTTCGACCGTGCATCAGTTTGCCCATCCCCCCCTCCCTAGAATTAGGGTTGTTCGCTTTGACCTTGCTATGCCTGACATGGGGTCGTCTGCTCTTAGGGCAGGGGCCCGGTAGGAATTTTGTCCATCTGGCTGATTGGCTGGGGCCATTTGGTTTTTGCCTACTGCGTAGCAAATCGTCACCACTTGTAAGGTTGCGGTTAGGCATTGGTTTATGGTTTGGTTGGTGGAGGGGCATGGATTGGCTGTGCCTGCCCCTCTAATGCTGCTGCTGCTGCAAGGGAATTCCATTAAAGGAATCGGGGGCTAACTATTGCTTGTCCACCCTGTCAAGGGGGCTTGGGCCACTGCAAGAGCTCCTGGCTGCATTTGGGGAGGGCTGAGGGCAGGTTCCCTGCTCCGTCGCTAGCCCCCCCTTTTCTGTATTCCCCTTTTCTGACTTTCGCAGGCGTGCGGAATGTCAGTTGTCCCCCACGGTGGGGGCAGATAGTCGCAACCAATGCCTAAGCACTCACATGTTTGTATTTTAATAAAGTTGTGGCCAAAATTATACCAAAAACCTTAAACAAAAAATTCTGTGTGATGTGTGAGTTATTGGGCTGGCCCTGGGGAGCTCGACACGCAAAAGCAGAATACCCAAAGTTCTCCAGGTAAATCTGGGAGAGACCCCTGCCTAAACCCAAGGAGGGCCACTCAGTGTAGACAGTACTGAGACAAATGAACCAATTGTCTGGGATTGTATAAAATACTTATTCCACATATCATAGAATTGTAGAGTTGGAAGGGACCCGGGGGTCATCTAGTCCAACCCCAGCAAGACAGGAACCTCAACTAGATCATACATGACAAGTGGCCATCCAACCTCTGCTTAAAAACCTCCAAGGAAGGAAAGTCCACAACCTTTCACTGTCAAACAGCTCTTACTGTCAGAAAGTTCATCATCATCATCATCATCATCATCATCATCATCATCATCATAATTTATTATTTATACCCTGCCCATCCGGCTGGGTTTCCCCAGCCACTCTGGGCAGCTTCCAACACAATACAATATGCTATTAAACGTTAAAAGCTTCCCTAAACAGGGCTGCCTTGATGTCTTCTAAAAATCTGGTAGAATCATAGAATCATAGAATCATAGAGTTGGAAGAGATCACAAGGGCCATCGAGTCCAACCCCCTGCCAAGCAGGAAACACCATCAGAGCACTCCTGACATATGGTTGTCAAGCCTCTGCTTAAAGACCTCCAAAGAAGGAGACTCCACCACACTCCTTGGCAGCAAATTCCACTGTCGAACAGCTCTTACTGTCAGGAAGTTCTTCCTAATGTTTAGGTGGAATCTTCTTTCTTGTAGTTTGGATCCATTGCTCCATGTCCGCTTCTCTGGAGCAGCAGAAAATAACCTTTCTCCCTCCTCTATGTGACATCCTTTTATATATTTGAACATGGCTATCATATCACCCCTTAACCTCCTCTTCTCCAGGCTAAACATGCCCAGCTCCCTTAGCCGTTCCTCATAAGGCATCGTTTCCAGGCCTTTGACCATTTTGATTGCCCTCCTCTGGACACATTCCAGTTTGTCAGTGTCCTTCTTGAACTGTGGTGCCCAGAACTGGACACAGTACTCCAGGTGAGGTCTGACCAGAGCAGAATACAGTGGCACTATTACTTCCCTTGATCTAGATTCTATACTCCTGTTGATGCAGCCCAGAATTGCATTGGCCTTTTTAGCTGCTGCGTCACACTGTTGGCTCATGTCAAGTTTGTGGTCAACCAAGACTCCTAGATCCTTTTCACATGTACTGCTCTCAAGCCAGGTGTCACCCATCTTGTATTTGTGCCTCTCATTTTTTTTGCCCAAGTGCAATACTTTACATTTCTCCCTGTTAAAATTCATCTTGTTTGGAGTTGTTGTTCTCTTTGACATCTGGTGAGAAGGCATTCCACAGGGCAGGTGCCACTACCAAGAAGGCCCTCTGCCTCGTTCCCTGTAACTTGGCTTCTTGCAGGGAGGGAACCGCCAGAAGGCCCTCGAAGGAGGACCTCAGTGTCCGGGTAGAACGATGAAGGTGGAGATGCTCCTTCAGGTATACTGGGCCGAGGCTATTCAGGGCTTTCAAGGTCAGCACCAACACTTTGAATTGTGCTCGGAAACATACTGGGAGCCAGTGTAGGTCTTTCAAGACCGGTGTTATGTGGTCTCGGCGACTGCTCCCAGTCACCAGTCTAGCGGACGCATTCTGGATTAGTTGTAGTTTCTGGGTCACCTTCAAAGGTAGCCCCACGTAGAGCTCATTGCAGTAGTCCAAGCGAGAGATAGCTAGAGCATACACCACTCTGGCGAGACAGTCTGTGGGCAGGTAGGGTCTCAGCCTGCGTACCAGGTGGAGTTGGTAGACAGCTGCCCTGGATACAGAATTGACCTGCGCCTCCATGGACAGCTGCGAGTCCAAAATGACTCCCAGGTTGCGCACCTGGTCCTTCAGGGGCACAGTTACCCCATTCAGGACCAGGGAGTCCTCCACACCTGCCCGCCTCCTGTCCCCCCAAAACAGTACTTCTGTCTTGTCAGGATTTAACCTCAATCTGTTCCTCCTTTCTTCTTACTTGGATCCAATGGTTTGGTTCCCACCTTCCAGAGCAAAAGAAAACAAGCTGGCTCTATCTTCCACCCAGTTCCATGTTGTCTACACTAACAGGGTAGCAACACTTCAGGGTGTCAGGTAGGGAGTCACTCCCCATCTCTACGCGTAGATGCCAGGAACTGAACCAGTGCCGGATTTACTTATAAGCTAAACAAGCTATAGCTTAGGGACCCACTCTCTTGGGGCCCCCCCAAAAAATTAAAAAAACAACAACTGGATTTACATTTCCAAAATATAAGATAAAAAAACAAATTAAATAAAACCTACATACAGCAACAGTGTTTTGTGTTGCATAGGCTCCTATGATGTAAGTAATTGTCCTCACCTGCTAGCCTGCTCCCTAAAATATCACTGGTTTGCTATTACTATTTCATATTAAAGCAAGTTTATAGAGACCAGATTATGAGTCTTTGTAAATTGTGTTTCTAAAGGAACTTTTGTTATTGCCAAATGCCAATGTGTTTGCATTATTAAGTTTGTTAAGAATAAAAAATCATTTTAAGTTAGAGCTGAATAATTATTTCACTATTAATATATTTCTTCTTAAGTGTATTTCAGTTCAACAATTACTTTGATAAAAATACATATTTTGTTATGTGCAAATGGCTCTAGATACCTATTAGGCCCATCAATGACCATACAGCATATATTCAACACAAAAAACAGCGGCAATTTGTTGTGTTGACAAAGGACAACCGGACATATAAAGGGCCCCATTACCTTCAGGAGCTGAGGGCCTCATCAAACCTAAATCCTGCCCTGAACTGAACCCTAAGTCCTTCTGCAAGCAAAGCATGCACTGTGCCACTGAGCTTAAAAAAATAAAACAAAAGCAAGATTCCAGTCCTCATTGGTCCAAAGAAAAGGCTGAACTGGCCCTTGCACAAGATGCATGTTTCACACTGGAATATTCGGAACCACAGCCCCATTGTATGCCTGTGTTTTGATGTCGTAATTAACTCCCTGTGCATAAACAAATTAGTGCACTACTTTGTTTTGATCTTCCATTAAACATCAACAGTGATTAAGTCACACACGCACACAAAGTGGCGGGGAAGGGAGTTGCGCATTTAAGATACTTGTTAGTGTACATCTGCTGAAGGAACAGCAGCGGTGTCGATCAAAAAGGAGCACGTCGTTTCCTTTGATGTTTGGCAGTGAACGTATGGCCTGATCCTGCTGATCGGGTGTTGGCAACCAAATCAACCCTGCTGCAAAAGTCGGCCCTTGACAGGTGAACAGGAAGCACATCAAGAGCTGGGCTGAATTTGCAGGGAAACAGTCAATGCACAGGGGAACTGTTCTAAATTAAATCTGATGGCCTGTGGTTTGCAGGTCCTGCTTGGGGGTTTGTGAGAAGGAAATGCTGAACCAGGTAAGAACACCAGAACATCAGAAGAGGCTGCTGGATTAGGCCAATGGCCCGTCTAGCTGAGCAAGCTGTTCTGAAAGTGGAAAAAACACAAGCAGGATTCAAACACAAGAGTTGGAATCGGAGGCAGCAGCCATGGGAGAAATGGGACCCTCTTGGAGCTCAATGGTGTGAGTCCCTCCATCGTAGGCTCAGGTTGTGTGTTGTTGGTGTTTAGTCGTCTTAGTCGTTTTCGACTCTCTGTGACCCCATGAACCAGAGCATGCCTTGGAAACTCTTGCTTTCTTCTCAACTCTTCTCGTTTTTTTATGTCCATGCGGTTTTCTGGGCAAAATACCGGAGTGGTTTGCCAGTTCCTTCTCCAGGTGGATCACATTTAGTCTAAACTCCTGTGATGGCCTGGGACTCGGGCTCGGACTTGGAACCAGAGGAGTCTCAGTCTGCACCGCATCCTTTGCCTCAGGCGACAGCTGAACCAAGTCTGGGGCCTGATCCTGAAGAGTCCCAGTCTGCACAGGTCCCCCTGCAACAAGCACCAGCTGGGCCGAGTCAGGGGCCTGAGCCTGCCCTGGCTCCAGATGCGGGGATGACCTCGTTGCCTCCAGCTGGGCCATCACTTACAGCTGCTTCACTACCGGTTTGGTCAGGAAAGGCTGAGGCGGCCTCTGGGTCTAATAACCCACCAACATCTCCCGAGCTGCAGAGACTAAGGTCTGAGAGAAGAAGAGACCTGAGTACTCGCAGGAGGAGTGCTCGCCTTTGGGCGAGACAGGGAGGTGAGTCACCGGGGGTTCAGGACCAGCCGTTACCCTGACAGAGAGAAAAGGCTGTCGGACTCCGCCCCAGGTTGCAGGAGCAACGTTGCTGTTTGCCAGAACCTGCCTGTGATCCTGTGCCTGACCTTGCCTGCTTTCCTGCCTCGTGTCCTGCCTTGGCCCTGTCGGACTGACTCCTCGCGGAACCCCTGGATTCAGGACCGGACCTGGACCGCGTTGCACGGGTTACCCCCAGGCCCAGCACAACTCTCCACTATGACCTGTCCATCTTGGGTGGCCCTGCACGGCATGGCTCATAGCTTCTCTGAGTTATTCAAGCCCCTTCGCCATGACAAGGCAGTGATCCATGAAGGGGTCAGGTTGTATATGTGTGTCAATAAACTATAAATCATAAAGACACCACAGTTTCCACTGTGCCTCGTTTTCCCAAAAGGAAACACAAACTCTGGGTAAGCAAGCCTAGAATTCCCTGGAATCTTGCACCGCTGTGGAGACTGGAAATGGCTTCTAACAATATGCTTGGTTGTTGTTGTTTTGTGCTTCACCATAGGAATGGGGTAGGAATCCTCTCACACTTCCCAAGCCGTGATGGAAACACGGCTATTCTTCCAAACATGTACTTCTCCAAAATTCTGTGGCACATTTCTCCAATCACATACAGGAATCTTCATGGGAGGGAGTGTTTGCAAAATGCAAATATGATTGAGAATTGCAAAAGCTCCTGTATACTTGAAGGGATGCGGATGGCGCTGGGGTCTAAACCACTCAGCCTCTTGGGCTTGCAGATCAGAAGGTCGGCAGTTCTAATCCCTGCGATGGGGTGAGCTCCTGTTTCTCCGTCCCAGCTCCTGCCAACCTAGCAGTTCGAAAGCACACCAGTGCAAGTAGATAAATAGGTACCGCTCTGGTGGGAAGGTAAATGGCATTTCCATGTGCTCTGGTTTCCGTCATGGTGTCTCGTTGCTCCAGAAGCAGTTTAGTCATGCCGGCCACATGACCCAGAAAGCTGTCTGTGGACAAACGCTGGCTCCCTCCGCCTGAAAGCAAGATGAGCGTCACAATTCCATAGTCACCTTCGACTGGACTTAACCATCCAAGGGTCCTTTACCTTTACCTTTACCTTTACCTTTACCTTTACCTATCTTGAAGGAGTTTCTCCATCCCCAGTGTTCATCCCAGTGAGGTCCAGCTCCAAGGGCCTTCTGGTGGTTCCCTCACTGTGAAAAGCGAAGTTACAGGGAACCAGGCAGAGGGCCTTTTTGGTGGTGGCGCCCGCCCTGTGAAATGCCCTCCCATTGGATGTCAAGGAGATAAACTACACAACTTCCTGAAGACATCAGAAGACAGCCCTAGATCAGGAAGCTTTTAATTTGTGATGTTCTGGTTTGTTTGTTTGTTTTTCTATATTCTTCTAGAAGCTGCCCAGAGTGTGGCTGGGGTAACCTAGTCAGATGGGCAGGGTACATGTAACAATATTATTATTATTATTATTATTATTATTATTATTATTATTATGCACTGTATAGTAGGGGAAATTGTGTACAGAATGTCCCCCTTAGGAGAAATACATGCAAAAATTCATATGAATTGTGTGCGTGCTTTTTTATTTTCTTTTTTTTTAAGGAAATGAATGATTGTAAACCAATGTGAAAAATGGGGCAAACTGAACTTAAGACTGGGGGGGAAAGAGCAAGAATATAAGGTGAAAGTGACAAAGCTCTCCATCCCTTCTACATCACTGAATTTCAGTGGTGGCATTTGGGCGGGGGAGATACCAGGAGTTAAATGTTAAAATTTCAAATGAATGTCAAATTCTTTCTTGGATCTAATCAGTCCCTATTTTAGGGGATGGTGGGAAGAGAAGTTCCAGGCATCATCATCATCATTATTATTATTATTATTATTATTATTATTATTATTATTTTCTGCCCTTGCTCCCAAGGTGCCCAATTTGGCAACCGCAAGCGATAAAACAATAGAATAGGAACGTTTTTTTAATGAACATCTTAAAAAGAATTCCAATACAGATGGTGACATTATTATTATTATTAATACCCTGCCCATCTGGCTTGGTTTCCCCAGCCACTTTGGGACAGATCTTGGCTCAAAAGGCTTCTTGAAACAGGAAAATAAATATACAGGCTTCTTGAAACATTGCTGATATAGGATTCAGCTGCTAGTCCCATCAGCTTCTGCACAGTGTGTGTGTGTGTGTCTGTGTGTAGGGTTGTGTCCCCTTGTCCTCTGCCTCAGGCAGCAAAACGTCTTGGGCCGCCCCAGAGGACCCAGCGCATTGCGAAATGTTTCCCTGCAAATGTCTACTCTAAAACAAACAGAGACAGAAGCCAGGTTGCTGTTGTTTTAATCAAGAACAAGGACACCAGCTTCCTAAGCGATTATTTACACCTGCAATTCCCCAGGGTCGCCCAGGCTATAAATCCTCTAAACCAAAAAAAAAGGGAGAGTATCTTTCCTTTTGAGGTTCCGAAGGAGGTGTGCGTGGTGGCGGTTGGGAAAACAAACTTCCCAAAAGGCGTTCAATTTCATCTGGAGGCCCCCCCAAAGTACTGGATGCTCATAAATCCCTGCTTATAGATATTAAGACCGTGTTAGTTCCTTGACAATAAGCGATGGTTTGGACTGTTTGCTTCCCAGGAAGGGTGGCTGAGGTCAAAAGATGGGCTGTGCTCCATGTGTTTTTGTAGGTGGTGGTGCTCAGGGTGGTGACACCTGCCCTGGCCCCTTCTTCTGCCCCTTGGATTGGGGCCAGAGAGCCACCCCTGGAATGACCCACAATGCTCCAGAAAACAGGTAGCGGCCACCAGCCAGCCGATGGCTTGACTGTTCTGCTGTCGTCAACATCTTCCACTTCCTCCTCTCATTTGCATCTTCTGGTAAGCTCACCTGCCCAGTCCAGTCCATGCTGGGTGGCAAGGCCAGCTCTGCTGTTTTTGTGTTTTCTTTGAAATCGTTTTTATTTCGCCAGAGAGGTGCATGCTCTGGTTATCTCTCGCTTGGACTACTGCAATGCGCTCTACGTGGGGCTACCTTTGAAGGTGACCCGGAAACTGCAATTAATCCAGAATGTGGCAGCTAGACTGGTGACTGGGAGCGGCCGCCAAGACCACATAACACCGGTCTTGAAAGACCTATATTCACTACCTGTACGCTTCCGAGCACAATTCAAAGTGTTGGTGCTGACCTTTAAAGCCCTAAATGGCCTCGGTCCAGTATACCTGAAGGAGCATCTCCACCCCCATTGTTCTGCCCGGACACTGAGATCCAGCTCCGAGGGCCTTCTGGTGGTTCCCTCACTGCAAGAAGCCATGTTACAGGGAACCAGACAGAGGGCCTTCTCAGTAGTGGCTCCCGCCCTGTGGAACGCCCTCCCACCAGATGTCAAAGAGAACAAGAACTACCAGACTTTTAGAAGACATCTGAAGGCAGCCTTGTTTAGGGAAGCTTTTAATGTTTAATAGACTATTGTATTTTAATGTTCTGTTGAAAGCCACCCAGAGTGGCTAGGGTGGCCCAGCCAGATGGGTGGGGTATATTATTATTATTATTATTATTATTATATTTTACAAATATAGAGTTACAAAATACCAAATGCATATCCATATATAGAGATTTCTCTGAATCTCAAGACTTCCCACCGTCCCCTCCATGTCCTATTGCCAACATTTTCAACTGCATATTATTTCGCCATATATATTTTGAATCTGTCCATATTGTCCATAGTGTTTGTTACATTGCAGGTGCCATTCAAATCCTGCTAATGTTTTCATCTGCTAACAGCGGTCTCCTAAATAAATTATGAATTTCCCCCATTCTTTCTTGAAGTTTTGTCTTCTTGGTTCCTGAGCTTTCCGGTCAGCAGTGGCGTAGCGTGGGTTGTCAGCACCCGGGGCAAGGCAAGTAATTTGCGCCCCCTAACCCGGTAGGGGCAGAGAGCTGCGAGTGCGAGCGCCCCCCAGATGTTACGCCCGGTGCAGCCAGCCCCCCTGCACCCCCACGCTACGCCACTGCCGGTCAGTTTTGCCATTTCGGCGTAACCCAACAGCTCGGTTTGCCATTCCTCTCTGGCAGGGACTCCTCCTTCTTTCTGGGTAGTAGCATCCTTGTGGCTGTTGTTGCATACATTAAAAGTCTTTTCTGTTCCTTTGGGATGTCAATACCTACGATTCCCAATAAAAAAGCTTCTGGTGGTTGTTGTTTTTTACAAAAATTATTTTAAACATTTTTTTCAGTTCATTATATATCATTTCCCAGAAGGCTTTTGTTACCTTACACAACCACATTTGGTGGCGCATGCCCTCCTGGCTTGCACTCTTTATAAAGACTTGAGGGATGAGATTACCACCCCTCTTTTATTGTCCATTCCAGGTTGCCCAACCACTGCCACAGTGTCCTTTCTCTTGGCAGATCAAGATGAGCAGGTGACAGCAAAGGTTGCAAGGTTTTTAGCTGGGCCAATCACAATAAGATCCACTCTTTGACTATTGATTCAAAAACCTAAAATGTATTTTATATAATTGACTTTTTATTTCTATTCTTTGTACAGTGGTATCTTGGGTCACGAACTTAATCCTTTCCGGAGGTCCGTTCTTAGACCAAAGCATTCTTGAACAGAGGTGCACACTTTCCCTAATGAGGCCTCCCGCCACTGGTGTTCAGCTTCTGTTCGTCTTCCAGGGCATAGTGCGCTAACCGGAACACCTGCTTCCGGTTTTGCGGAGTTCGCTGGAGGGAAAGGAAGAGGGCGGGGAGCGCAACAAACGGGCACATGGGCGTGCGCACGCACGAGACTGGCTCCATATGCCACCTGACGTGCACCCTCAGCTTCATGCTCTCTCCTCCTGGGCCCACCCCACTTTGGCCATTGGTACTTGAATTTCCTTACATGTCTGGAATGTTCCAGATGTTTGGCAAGCCTAGCCCTTGCCTATCAGCTCCCTAGTCTCCATGTTGCCCTTGGACATCTTAGCCAGGAGGAGGAGAATGGGAAGAAATCTAGAATTAGTTGCCTCCACCTGTCCTTGGCTCTCTGACGCCACCTACTGTTGACCTTTCTGCTTTCCAGCCAACAGGTTCCAACAGGCACCAACCACCATTGGATTATTCTCCAAAGACCCATTTTTTCCAAACCGCCTTTGGCTCAGTCCCTATGGCCTGCTCCCCCAACCCAAACAATGCCCATGTATTTACTCATGTACATCCTTTCTTAGCCCCTTGCATTCTTCCACCATTTCTTCTGTTTGATATAATGTTCCCTCTCCTGCCCTGAGTGAGAACGAAATTAGATGGTCCCTCCTACTAAATATTTGTTATTTTCACACTAATTCCTTTTGGTTGTTGTTGTTGTTTAGTCATGTCGGACTCTTCGTGACCCCATGGACCAGAGCATGCCAGGCACTCCTGTCTTCCACTACCTCCCACAGTTTGGTCAAAGTCATGCTGGTAGCCTCGAGAACACTGTCCAACCATCTCGTCCTCTGTCGTCCCCTTCTCCTTGTGCCCTCCATCTTTCCCAACATCAGGGTCTTTTCCAGGGAGTCTTCTCATGAGGTGGCCAAAGTCTTGGAGCCTCAGCTTCACGATCTGTCCTTCCAGTGAGCACTCAGGGCTGATTTCCTTCAGACTGGAGAGGTTGGATCTTCTTGCAGTCCATGGGACTCTCAAGAGTCTCCTCCAGCACCAGAATTCAAAAGCATCAATTCTTTGGCAACAACAACAGCTGTGTTGGTCCGACACAGCCGGGGGGGGGGTTAAAAATTGTCCGGAAGCACCTTAGAGGCCAACTAAGTTTGTTCTGGGTAGAAGCTCTCATGTGCTTGCAGAAGAAGTGTGCATGCACACAAAAGCTTACACCAGAAGAAACTTAGTTGATCTCTAAGGTGCTACTGGACAATTTGTATTTGCTTATGTAAGCAGAACAGCATCACCCATGTATTGGTTTAGGGGAGCTGGAAGTTAGACAGCAGAGATCATTCTGCTGGTCAATAAGGGATGGAGGTGCGGCTTAGCAACCAAGCAGAGTGGCTTGGTCTGAATAGCATGTGATCTGATTGGCTGAGTAGTTCTTGGAGAGTTTTTCCACCATATGTTTGGCTGGCTGTCTCCCTGCTTTTTACAAGGTCTTACCTAAGAAGAGCTGGCCTTATGGGCGGGTGAACCTGGGGCACTTAGGTGAGGGGGACACCAAGCTGAGCTCACTGCTTGTGGTTTTTTAAAGGTACTGTGTGCAGTGAGCTAGCGTGGCAAAAAGTAAGCTGTGTTTCAATGTCCTGCAGATTGTTGGGACACTAACCACCAAAACGATTTCCCTTCAATTAGCTTTAAAGTATGTCCCCCCCCCCCCAGTTTCCACTTTGATGTCGTTTGTCCTACATAAAAATCGGTAGAAGACAGCTTTCCTTTGCCGTGATGTTATTAAGCACTTAGCACTTCAAATACTCTAAAACACCATAAACCTTCTATAAATGATAATAAAGCCATGAGATTTAAGAGGTCAGTGGGATACCTTTTTATTTCAACTTTCCTTTGTTATAGTTACAGGTAGGTAACTTGTTCTTCTAACATTGTGTATGCCATCAAATGCCAATAGTGCCCTTCAGCTCTCTATACAGTGGTACCTCGGGTTACAGACACTTCAGGTTACAGACTCCGCTAACCCAGAAATAATACCTCACGTTAAGAACTTTGCTTCAGGATGAGAACAGAAATCAGATGGCGGCGGCAGCAGGAGGCCCCATTAGCTAAAGTGGTACCTCAGGTTAAGAACAGTTTCAGGTCAAGAACGGACTTCATTAAGAACGAATTAAGTTCTTAACCCGAGGTACCACTGTATTGGACAAACAGGCCAAAGCCTACGCCAAAGGATAAATGGACATAAATCTGATATCAGAAATCACAAGACAGAGAAACCAGAAGGAGAACATTTCAATCTCCCAGGACATTCTATTCAAGGTCTCAAAGTAGCTGTGTTATTACAAAAGAATTTCAGATATAGACTGGGAAGAAAAGTTGCTGAATTGCAACTTATTACCAAACGTAAAACCATGGAGAGACCTGGTCTGAATAGAGACATTGGATTCTTATCTCATTATACATGATAAAGCTATTTTTAGCAATCTCACCCCTTGCTTTTTCCGTAAGACCAATTGCAGCCGTTAACAGTCGTCAACAGGTTTGCCACACCTATCAGCCAATCACCCATTCCCACCTCCCTTCTGAGTAATACCTCTCCCCACCCTCTCCCTATATATAAGGGTCCGGTGACTTCTGTTTCAGTGTATCTGAAGAAGTGTGCATGCACACGAAAGCTCATACCAATAACTAACTTAGTTGGTCTCTAAGGTGCTACCGGAAGGAATTTTATTTTATTTATTTTATTTTATTTTATTTTATTTATTTTCCTTTGTTATTTTACTCCTCCCCTAACATCTGGGCCCCCAAGGTTGATGAACACTGGAAATAATGTAGTAGTACACCTGCCATCAGGGACGCGGGTGGCACTGTGGTCTAAACCACAGAGCCTAAGGCTTGCCGATCAGAAGGTCGGCAGTTCGAATCCCCGTGACGGGGTGAGCTCCCGTTGTTCGGTCCCTGCTCCTGCCCACCTAGCAGTTCGAAAGCACGTCAAAGTGCAAGTAGATAAATAGGTACAGCTCCAGCGGGAAGGTAAGCGGCGTTTCCGTGCGCTGCTCTGGTTTGCCAGAAGCGGCTTAGTCATGCTGGCCACATGACCCGGAAGCTGTACACCGGCTCCCTTGGCCAGTAAAGCGAGATGAGCGCCACAACCCCAGAGTCGGTCACAACTGGACCTAATGGTCAGGGGTCCCTTTACCTTTTACACCTGCCATCACCCACATCCATTTTAGCTCATCTGCAAGGATGATGGGAGTTGTAGTCCAACACTTGGGCACCCAAGTTTCAAGCGCCCTGGTCTGGCAGAAGTTTCCCCAGCCCTGCCTGGAAGTGCAAGGGATCCACCTGGGGTTTTCTGCCTCCTGCCACCAATTCGCATCCCTCCCACCCCTGTGTACCTGGGAAGGATCGCATTACCAAATGCTCAACCATCTCGTCCTCGTATTTAAATATTCTCCAGCACGGTTTCAATAATAAAACCGCTCGCTTATAAAGATGCGCTTTCAGAACATGCGGCTGGGGCTGAGGTTTACAACATCATTATTTGGTTTTATTTGCCAAATGTCTTACCTGGTATATTATCTGCTTTTACAGATGTGTACCGCGTTTGATTTTTTAATTGGTCTTATTTACCAAATGTCTTACTCATTAGACTATCTACTTTTTCAGATGTGTCCTCTTTGATTTCGCGGAGAAGAGAACAGGCATAGCAAATCAGGGCCGTGATTAGCGTCGGGAGAATTTTCCAGCATTCTGTTCCCTCTCCTGAAATCCAGTGGCTCTGAATATCACGCCTACTGTACAACAAATACCTCCGCTTCTGTCCTTCAGTTCAGTGTGGAATGCATAATCATCCCAGCCAATTAAACATGCAAAGTTAATAAGACCCACAATGATAACGGGGGAGCGGGGAAGGATTCTGCTTTCATATGCCCAGTTCTGTGGCCAGCGTTATTATTATTCAAGTCGACCGTGCTGCCAGCCTGCCCTGAAGTCTCCAGGTTTGCCTGGTTCCCCCTCCTCCGAGTGGCGAGTTTCAGTTTGGCAGGAACCGGCTGAAAATGATAGCACTGAGCAGTTGCGCCAACTCATAGGGGCAGAGGTATCTTTGACCCCAATAAAATATGCTGGCACAGGGCCAGGCACCCTCAATGTTGAAGGGGTAGAGGAGACCGATAGCTGAGACGAGGGCCGTGCGGTTCAGTGGATGGCTCCTCCTGAGCCCACAAGAGGAAGCTGCGCTGTTCTCTACACTCAGTCTCCTATTGATGCTGCGACGTTGCGCATGACGTCACAATCTTGGGTGCAAGGCAGTGACTCTGGCATAGAGACTCCAGAGGGAGGTCTGCCCTCCTCTCCCAATTTATCCCCTGGTATAGCTCAGATCTCCTGCCAACCTAGCAGTTCGAAAGCACATCAAAGTTCAAGTAGATAAATAGGTACCGCTCTGGTGGGAAGGTAAATGGCGTTTCCCTACACTGCTCTGGTTCTCCAGAAGCGGCTTAGTCATGCTGGCCACATGACCCGGAAGCTGTACGCCGGCTCTCTCGGCCAATAAAGCAAGATGAGCACCGCAACCCAAGTCGGTCACGACTGGACCTAATGGTCATGGGTACCTTTACCCTTTACGTTTCTGAGCACAATTCAAAGTGTTGGTGATGACCTTTAAAGCCCTAAACGGCCTCAGCCCAGTATACCTGACGGAGCGTCTCCACCCCCATCGTTCAGCCCAGACATTGAGGTCCAGCTCTGAGGGTCTTCTGGCGGTTCCCTCCCTGCGAGAAGAGAGGTTACAGAGAACCAGGCAGAAGGCCTTCTCAGTGGCGGCACCTGCCCTGTGGAATGTCCTCCCATCAGATGTCAAGGAAATAAACAACTATCTGTACAAATGCGGGTGGCGCTGTGGTCTAAACCACTGAGCCTAGGGCTTGCTGATCAGAAGGTCAGCGGTTCGAATCCCCTCAACGGGGTGAGCTCCAGTTATTCGGTCCCAGCTCCTGCCAACCTAGCAGTTCGAAAGCACGTAGTGCAAGCAGATAAATAGGTAACACTCCGGCAGGAAGGTAAACGGTATTTCCATGTGCTGCTCTGGTTCGCCAGAAGTGGCTTAGTCATGCTGGCCACATGACCTGGAAGCTGTATGCCGGCTCCCTTGGCCAATAAAGCGAGATGAGTGCTGCAACCCCAAAGTCGGCCACGACTGGACCTAATGGTCAGGGGTCCCTTTACCTTTACCTATAGCTCCAATGGTGAAGCATGAGACTCTTAATCTCAGAGTTGTGGGTTTGAGTCCCACCTCGGGCAAAAGATTCCTGTATTATAGAGGGTTGGACTAGATGACCCTCACAGTCCCTTCCAGCTCTAAAATTCTTTAACTCTATGAATTAACCTCCGTCTCCGAGGCCCGTCCCCTATGACAGCACCAGGGTCTCAGGTTTGGGCCCTGAGTTCTCAGGGTCTGGAACACTCCTGACTTGGCAACTCCAATGATTGTTGTTGTTTTTAAAAAATGGTCAGAAATAAATCATGCAATTGAGAAACACAGCTGGACGTTGCGCTTATTTGTTTATTTAGAAAATTTATAGACCACTTGCTAAAAAAAAACAAAAACTCCAAGTGGTGTACAAGTCCAATATATAAAATATGACAGAAATATGCAAAGCAAATCTGTAGAATGGCACTCCTGTTGATACATGACCGGTGCCCCCTAACTGCACTTTCTGGAAGCTGTTGAAGACACTTGCATTCCGACTGGATGAAGGGGTCTTGGTCAGTAGTGCCTACTTTGTACGGTGTTAGTTTTCTTTTGAACGCATTTGCTGCTTTTGCGTTCTCAACTCTTTTTCATAGCCTTCATTGTGCGTTGCGTCGAAACTCTTGTGTAGAAGGTGATTCGTGTCAATGGTGAGAATTATCATTAAAAACAAATATACATAAAGCCATTATGAAAGGGGGGGGAAAACCACCAAGAAAAATCAATAAAACTTGTACCGTAACTAAATAATGTGTCCAAATGTGCTTACGAAAACAGACAATGTTCAACAGGTGTTTAAAACAGTATAAGTGAAGGCAAATGCTTATTTTTAGCAGGGGAGTTTTTTTATACTGAAATAATAATAATAGTAATAATAATAATAATAAAAATAATAATACAACAAACAAACAACATTTTAACATCTTTCCGCAGGGCCTGCAAGATGGAGCTGTTCCGCCTGGCCTTCGGCTTAGACTCACTCTGAATCCTTATATGGGTGTTTCCTCCCTTTATGGTCTTGATTTATGGGCTACTACTAAAATGTTTCCGTGCGCTGCTCTGGTTCGCCAGAAGCGGCTTAGTCATGCTGGCCACATGACCTGGAAGCTGTACGCCGGCTCCCTCGGCCAATAAAGCGAGATGAGCGCCGCAACCCCAGAGTCGGCCACGACTGGACCTAATGGTCAGGGGTCCCTTTACCTTTACCTGGGACGCGGGTGGTGCTGTGGGTTAAACCACAGAACCTAGGACTTGCCAATCAGAAGGTCGGCGGTTCGAATCCCCGCGATGGGGTGAGCTCCCGTTGCTTGGTCCCTGCTCCTGCCAACCTAGCAGTTCGAAAGCACAAAGTTCAAGTAGATAAATAGGTACCACTCCAGCGGGAAGGTAAACGGTGTTTCTGTGCACTGCTCTGGTTCACCAGAAGCAGCTTAGTCATGCTGGCCACATGACCCGGAAGCTGTACGCCGGCTCCCTCGGCCAATAAAGCGAGATGAGCGCCGCAACCCCAGAGTCGGTCACGACTGGACTTAACGGTCAGGGGTCCTTTACCTTACTAAAATGAGCTGTATTTTAATTAACTGTTTGTTTGTTTGTTTGTTTGTTTGTTTGTTTGTTTGTTTGTTGTTTCTATTACGTTTTATTATAATTCATATCTGGTGTTAGCCATCCTGAGCCCGGCCCTGGCCAGGGAGGGAAGGGTATAACTAAAATTTTATTATATTATTATTATTTATAACCCCCTTTCTTCAAAGGAGGACAAGACGACATGGACACTTCTCCTGCTCCACATTTAATCCCCACAACAACCCTGTGAGGTAGGTTAGACCGAGAAAGTGGGTGACTGGCCCAAGGTCAGACTCAGTGAGTTCCATGGCTGAGTGGGGATTCAAACCCTGATCTCCCAGCTCCTAGCCAGACAGTCTAACCACTAGACTACCGCGGCGCTCAGTGATTAAATGAGGAAAAGGAGAACCACATACTCCCCCCTGAGTGCCTTGCAGAGAAAAGTTCGGCTATAAATGCAATAAACTTATAGGAAATAAATGGTGGTGGAGGTGGTAAATATTCTTTTTATTAAATAAGGCTGCAATTCTAGACACATACCAGACACAACATAGCTTCCTGAGCTGTCAGTGACTTACCGGTAACTCTGCTGCCCTAGAAAGAATTTATAGAAGCCTCGAGCTGAGCCAAAACGGAAGGAAAGTCGTGCTTATGCGACTTTCAACTTTTCCATAGCTAATGGGGACAAAACGCTCCAATGCTGTGCACTCACTGATGATGCAAACAGGCACACTTTGACCCAAAAACAAATCCCTGTGTTGCAACATAGACAAGCTGAACAATATAACACAACACAATGGCCAATAACAATGGCACTAAACACTATTTATAGACTAATACCAATAATCAGAAATTACAACCAAAGTCTCTAAATCTTCTCCACCAGTCGCGGTAGAATAATTCAAAAGTTCACTATATCCATAATCTGTCACCAAATATCGCCGGAACAGAGTTTCCGGATAACCAATCTGTTTCATTCGATGCTTCATCAGCCAATCTTGATCAATTCTTCATCAGCCAGACTTGTAAGAATTAATATGAGAAGGATGCAGTTCAATTTCTTAACAAGCCAATCTTAAAAGGTAAAGGTAAAGGGACCCCTGACTATTAGGTCCATTCGTGGCCAACTCTCGGGTTGCGGTGCTCATCTCGCTCTTTAGGTTGAGGGAGCCGGCATACAGCTTCCAGGTCATGTGGCCAGCATGACTAAGCCGCTTCTGGCGAACCAGAGCAGCGCACGGAAACGCCATTTACCTTCCCACCGGAGCGGTACCTATTTATCTACTTGCACTTTGACGTGCTTTTGAACTGCTAGGTTGGCAGGAGCAGGGACTAAGCAACGGGAGCTCACCCCATCGCGGGGATTCGAACCGCCGACCTCCTGATCAGCAAGTCCTAGGCTCTGTGGTTTAACCCACAGCACCACATGTAAGCATGGGTCAGATGGCCAGCAGGACTAAACTGCTTCTGGCACAACAGGACACCGTGACAGAAACCAGAGTGCACTGAAACACCGTTTACCTTACTGCCGCAGTGGTACTTATTTATCTACTCGCACTAGCATGCTTTCAAACTGCTAGGTTGGCAGGAGCTGCGACAGAGAAACGGGAGCTCACCCCAACGCAGGGATTTGAACTGCTGACCTTCTGATCGGCAAATCCTAGTCTCTGTGGTTTAACCCACAGCGCCACATGTAAGCAAATATAAACGCTGTAGAAAATATGCTCTGGATCAGTGCTCATATGATATTGTAGTCACTGATTTTTATTTTTTTAAACCACCCTGCATCAAACGAATTTTGACAAGGATGCTTACAGCAAAACACTGGAGGGGGGAAAATCACATCAGTAAAAGAATGGCAAATTAAACTTTGTGAATATATAGATTTGGCAGGATTAACGGCAGTCTTAAGGGGACAAGCAGAACAAAAATTAATAAAAGAATGGGACTGCGTTAAAGAGTACATGAAAAAACATTGTTCTAGAGCAAAAATATTGGTATATAACGAGTAAAGTTTTGCAGGGTCAAAGAAATGGTTGTAATAAGTATAAAGCTATCAGTAATATAAATATAACACAACAATTAAGAAGATTGAAAACTTGAAGTCCCAAATCAGTGGAAGGAAGTCAAAGTCTATGTATGTTTTGTTATGTATTGTGAATATTATGGGGGTTTTCCTTTTCCTTTTTGGTTTTATGTGTATAATTTGTGTTGTAATTTTGCATTGAAAAAATAATTTTTTTAAAAGGAAAAAAAGAAAAAGAGTTTTGACAATGCGTCATACGGAGTTCCGACGAGAATGGCAGTCCGTCGGCCAAACAAAGGAGAGAAAGGAGGTTTGAGCAACTGAGAATTCTTTGGCACAGCGAAAGGTTAAAGAGGCAAACCTGAAAGTCAGGAATGAAAAGCGTCAGCTTCTAAATGAAATTATGTTTGCAAAGTTTAATTAACAGGGAGGCATACAAACTCGCAAATTGAGAACCCCCTTGTTGCCCGGACAGTTCCGCAGCTTGACATACCTTAAGTGTTTCTTGGCCGAATCTCTCCCCCCCCCCCCCCCGGAGAAATTTGTCAGCCCAGGATTATTATTTTTTAACGTTACAGTGATCTGACAGCAGGGTAGGTCAGAGAGAGAAACTGAGAAAGGATGGATAGAGAACCCAATAGTGTGTTGCAGGAGGCAGTAAAAAGGTAGAGGGACCCCTGACCATTAGGTCCAGTTGTGACTGACTCTGGGGTTGTGGCGCTCATCTCACTTTACTGGCCGAGGCAGCAGACGTTTGTCCACAGACAGTTTTTCCAGGTCACGTGGCCAGCATGACTAAGCAGCTTCTGGCAAACCAGAGCAGCGCACAGAAATGCTGTTTACCTTCCCGCCGGAGCAGTACCTATTTATCTACTTGCACTTTGACGTGCTTTCGAACTGCTAGGTTGGCAGGAGCAGGGACTGAGCAACGGGAGCTCACCCCGTCACGGGGATTCGAACTGCTGACCTTCTGATCGGCAAGTCCTAGGCTCTGTGGTTTAACCCACAGCGCCACCCACGTCCCACCGCAGGAGGCAGTAGTGGCCATCAACTTGGGTGGCTTAAAAAGAGAATTGGAAAAATTCAAGGAGGAGAAGACTCCTGTATTCGAATCCTGCTGGTGGGATTCCCAGTAAAGGCATCCTACTGGCCACTGTAGGAACAGGATTCTGGACCAGATGAGCCACTGGCCTGATGCAGCAGGACTGTTCTCTTATATATATAATTTTTATTGGTTTTTGCACATGTTTTCCAAACATAACCGCACATCTTATACAGTACAACAAACCTTTGGCTATCGCAGCCTAGGGCTTCCGTCAACCTCAACCAATGGTTTTCTAACTTCCTTTCTGGTTTTGCATTTTATTTTAATAGTTATTGCGATAAAGTCCAAATCCTAAATAAACTCCTTCTTAGTCCTTTTTCGCAACGATTCATATAGTTCTCCGTACAAAACTTCTT